CAGATGCTTCGGCCACCTAATGCGAAGAGAGGCCTCTTTGGAAAAGACCCTGATGCTGGGAAGGACTGAAGGCCAAAGGAGAAGAGGACGGCAGAGGATGAGATGTTTAGAGAGCATCACTGAAGCAATGAGCGTGAAACTGAGCCAACTCAGGGAAGCAGCAAAGGACAGGAAGGCCTGGCGCGATGTGGTTCATGGGGTCACGAAAAGTCGGACACGACTTAACGACTCAACAACAACAACAACCTCCTTTGGCTGTCCACACGTGACCCCAAACCCATACCTAGGCACGAGAGCGTGCCTTAGCCTAAAGCGAAGGTCCATCACTTCCAAGTCAAGGGTCCCCAAAACTTACCTGCAGTCTTCTGGAAATAGCAGCGGCTCGAGTTTGCAATTCCTCCCAGCGCTCGTTCATGTGCTGCAGGGAGGACCGCAGGTGTGGACTGACGCTGCCCTTCCCCACCAGCTGGTGGTATTGCCTGTTCAAGGACGCCAAAGGCCAGACCTTCTCAGAGATCTCTTTTTGCAGAGTCTGAAAAGAAACAGTCGAGCCCCAGGAGGGTTCAGACCAACAGCACCGAAGAGTTCCCCCAAACAGGGCAGGACCCAGGAAGGAAGGACAACCTGGCCTTCTCCAGATCCCATCACTTTTGCATCGCTCATCCACCCTCCTGTCCCGTTTTGGCACGGGGGTGCTTTTGAAAGAAAACCAGCCCAGATCACTTCCATGTCAATCCATATTTAATAGAGTATTTCTAATCTTTGTTGGGCATATGTTTTCCACAGTGTTGTTTTTCTCTCGACATATGTGCTGTCTGCAGCTTGGAAAAGTCATTTTTAAGCACATGTTTGAGCTGCAAATTGTGCTGAAACATCCAGGGAGTCCATCTGTTCATCTGATAGGAGGGGAACCTCTGAGTTTCTCTTGCACGTGGCCGAGATCAGATTCTTCAGAGGTCTACCATCACATCCTGATCTAACTGTTAGTACAGGGTCAAGCCCATTGATTTTATATTATTAACCGCCGCCATTTAAGCCCAAGGATGAAGCTCCTGAATTGCCTTGAACCCCCATTCCTCTCCCTTAGCAGTTAAGTTATATGCTGACAAGGAGTCAGAAAGACTCGGATGGACCTTTGTATTCAGTAACCCACTTGCCTTTCTGTCTCGGACATCGTGCCTGAGACCAGTGTTTCTCAACCCTAGCAACTTTAAGAGGTCTGGACTTCAAGTCCCAGAATTCCCCAGCCAGCTAGGGAATTCTGGGAGTTGAAGTCCAGACCCCTTCACGTTCCCAAGGTTGAGAAACACTGCCTTAGACAGACTTATTCAGAGCAGCAGGGAGAACAAAGCATCTTCTGTCTCTCGCTGGCTTGCCCCAGAAAGGTGTGCAATAGACTCTCAATGCCTCATTTGTTTAATCTATTACTTTTGGCCCTTGGTTGTTCTTTGGCAATCAAAGAGCTGCATTTATCTCCGCAGATCCCGAGAGCTATCAAATCCTTCCTTGCTGGGGAAGGGGAGCGAGGAAGTAGCTTAGTATTTCTTTATTTTATTTATCTATTCATTCAATTTATACAGCCGCCCCTCTCAAATGAATGACTCTGGGTGGCTAACAATATTAACAACAAGAACAACAGTAACATAATAATAATTTAATTAAATATTTTAAAAAACATTTTTCATTAAAAAAAAATAAAAACAGAAAGACTGAAAAAGGGAAAAAACGACACACGTCTAAAACAGCAGCCGGGGTATGTATTATCTTGGCCACAACTCCGGAAGAGCCAGCCACCTCCTTACCCGGAACCTTTGCAGCTCTTTTTTGGAGTCGGCGTAGGAGACCTGTGAGGACCTGGGGGAGGCCACCATCCTCTCGGCAGCCCAGAGCCAGTCCTGGAAGCGGAAGACGCAGTCCTGAAGGGTCTTCTGCAGGCGCCACGCCGCCTCCTCCCTGAGAGAAGGGCAGAGCCTTGGTCAGACGGGCATGAAAGCCGGAGACAAACAGCCTCGCCACCCAGCACCAGCACCGGTTCTTCCTGGCTGAATGGACAAGAACTGAATCTTTCCTGTCTGGGGAAAGGAAGGGACCTCAGTCGTCCAGGCACTGGACCTTAAGTCATGAACATCTGTCCAGCAGCGGGGGTCTGCTAAAGCAGGGCCCTTCTCCAAAGAAGAGATGGATCATTAAAGGAAAAGCATGCAGGGAGACAATGTCTGTCTGTTTGTCTGTCCATCCATTAATTCTTCTCTTGTAATAAGTTGGGAG